AGATTCGAGAGGACAATAAGGAATGCGGAGAAGGTGTTCGATGAAATGCGGCAGAGAGGGATTGAGCCTGATGTGACCAGTTTTTCCATTGTGCTTCATGTGTACAGCCGCGCACACAAGCCGCAGTTGTCGCTCGACAAGTTGAAGCAGATGAAAGAGCTTGGAATCTCTCCGACCGTGGCGACTTATACTTCGGTGATCAAATGCCTCTGCTCTTGTGGTAGGCTAGAAGATGCAGAGGACTTGCTTGGAGAAATGGTGAGCACTGGAATTTCTCCATCCCCAGCAACTTATAATTGTTTCTTCAAAGAGTACAGAGGTAGAAAGGATGGGGCTGGTGCTTCACGGTTGTACAAGAAGATGAAAGAGGACTGTTTATGCCCTCCTAGTTTGCACACCTACAACATATTACTAAGCTTGTTTTTCAATCTGGGCAAGAAGGAGGCTCTGAGAGAGGTGTGGAACGACATGAAAGAGAGCGGTAGAGGGCCGGATTTGGATTCGTATACGACGATGATCCACGGGTTGTGCGAGAAGCAGAAATGGAGGGAGGCTTGTCAATTTTTTGTAGAGATGATAGAGAGGGGGTTTCTTCCTCAGAAGGTGACATTTGAGATGCTTTACAAGGGGTTGATACAGTCTGATATGTTGAGAACTTGGAGGAGGTTGAAGAAGAGGCTGGAAGAAGAGTCTATAACATATGGTTCGGAGTTAAAAAATTATCAGCTTAAGCCTTATAAGAGATGATGGATAATTATAGGCCAAGTGAGTTTTATATATTGAAGTTTAGAAGGTTTTTTTCCTCTCATTTTATATTATTTTGCATTTTTTTTCCTTTTTTTTTTAGCACAACAGGTGGGGTGGGGAATTTGATTTAGGTATATGTCAATTTACTACTTAGCTATGCTCGCTTGGTTGGAGGTATATGCCAATTACGACTGAGCTATGTTCGTTTTGGCGCTGCTTTGCATATCTGTGGTGCTTCATCTTGTGAGATATACCAATTCTAACTGTGCATTATTGCAACCAATACAAGTAATCAGCATAAAAATAAAAGGTAAAAAAAAAACTTAGATGTGCCTATTGAAACGTGAGAGTGAATTCAAACAATTAGGCAAAAATAAGGGAAATAAGGGAGCGTTTGATTGGTGATCTAAAACGTAGATCTAGAAATAAAGGATTCAAATACAATAGTTGCATTTTGTATATTCACTGTTCTTGAGTATTTGATAGTAGATTAAAAATTTGAATATGGATGTAAAAATTTGTTGAAACTGTGTTGGGCAATGAATTCAAAATAAATTAGGTCTCATAATAAGAATTACATTAAATTTCAAGATTTGATTATAAATATATTAGCATATTTGAAATGGTAAATTTGAGATAAGTAGAATTTTACAAAATTATATAAATTATAATATTTCATATGTTTATTTAAACAAAAATGAGACGAATTTGCAATATGATAGTGTATATTTTCATTAATTTTTTTTATCTTAGTAACTGTAGTCGCAATTACCGATTCATGTCCTTTTTATCTTATTATTATGATAACAGATAAAAGTAAACCACAAAAAATGTAGCTGATTTATTGAGTATTACTCCTTCGATTATGAAAAAGATAAATTAATTGGTTAATGTATTTAGATTATATTAAAATTTAGTACACTTTAATTTATTAATGGCTAACTTTTATGATATAACTTATAACTTAATTATTTTATAAGTGTGGTAATTTTATTGGATAAATTTCTATTATATGATTCTTTATTTATACATGAAAATTATTTATAAATGCATTAAAAATAATTGGTTAAAAAACACATTTGGTACTTCTGTGAAAGTAACAATTTAGTTCTTAAATTTTCAATAGTAATGATTTAATCCATGTACTTTTAAAATGGTAACAATTTAACCCCTACTATTAAAAATTTAGTTAGATTTAATCCAAATCTGATGCGGCTTATATCTATGTGTACAAGTAATGTCCAACTCTGCAATCGATTCAATTGAATCGGTATCAGATTAAAAAACACAATAATTATAAAAGAAAAATGTCTCCCCAATCCCCAGCCCCCACATTTCATGACTTTTCACCTTATTCTCCACGCTATCTCATTCTCGTCCCCCTCTATAAACTCCAAGAAGCTCAAGCTGCAATTCGGCGATGAATCAGTGCACAAAATTTGCACGCCAATTTTTTTTTTTGGGAACTCTTAATCTTCCCCACGAATGTAATTATGACATTCGCGTATTGTACCGCAGATACGCAATGGCGCTAGTCGTGCTGCCTTACGACACTCCCAGGAACACAAAGACGAACTTCGTTTTTTTTCCCTGGTTGAAACCCAAAAAAACCATTAATAAGCGAAAGCAGAATCAAACACTCATTTCATTATTTTCAAAATGGAGAAAAAGGGAGAAGAAATCGTTATCGTTACTCGGCACCAAACGGAGAAAATTTTGGTGTCTCTTCCCCAACCTCCGATGAAAACACCGAAAGCAACAAAGAGACCCCACACCCAGAGGTAAGAACAGCGGCCGCCACGTACGACAGTGCTAGAAGACTCTCGAAGAGAGTATCAGAAGTGATTATCATTTTTAACTCCAAACTTCTGAATATAGGGATTGAGCGTAGACCGTCGGAGATTCTCATACAAAGGGTTGAGAGTCCCTCACGGTCAGATCATTATTATGGGGAGAGAATTTATGGTTGTTGGAGCAATATGAGGAAGAAGACGTTGTTGTGTTGTGGAACCCACTGCCTTGAAAGCAAAATTTGGCACGACCACGGTGCGTTAATTGCCAGTTGCTTCCCAAGGTTAACACAACACACGAATTCTGGCGTATACTCGCCGAAAAATGGATTGGAATCAACTCAAAACAAACTTGAAAACAGAAAGTGGAAAGGGAATTGAGAGAGAATTAGAAAGAGAGAAAAATGTTATCAGAATGATGTGTTGTAAATGAGAAGATGGTGGGTATATATAGGGTTGGATGGAAACCACTTTTCTTCATTTTATTATTTAAAACAATAAAAGGTAAACTACTCACCACTCAAAATGAAACCGTTCACCAATTGACTGGCCTGGGAGGAAAAATGTTTACAAACCCCAATGAAATCCCAACTATTTAACTAAGTCAAAATTAACTTTGATTTTAATGGGCCTAGTAGTGTGGGTGGATCAAAGTGGCCCAAATGCCATCAAATTATTATTTTTCCCTTTTGATATTCCTAACAATCCCCTACAAATGACAAAAGGAGAAAATATAATAATAGAATTCTGAGCAAATATAGGAATAAAACTTAAGTATTAATATCTTACGATATGAATTAATGCATTGTGAAGTGAGACAACCTAAGTAGTGACAATTCTTGAACTTTCAATAATTATGGTTGAGACCCCCACAACACATTTGAATCCTTCATTTTGATTCTGCGATATACAACAAGTGCTTTTTCATGGTCATGCACATAGAACCTTGGATCACGTGAAAGCTCTAGAAAGAGACCCTAAACTCTTTCATAGAAGGCAGCCTCACCCCCACAATCACGTTAGTGCTTCATAAAGTTTATCAAAGATAAACTACTCAAAACTTAGCTAGGAACTTTGTAACTAATCCATCAAGTCTATGAATAGACCACCCGAAGACTGAGCTATGAATTTATATTACTCATCAACAATTCATCAAGTCTACACATAAATCACCCAACAAGGGTTATGGACTCACAATTGATGTATCAGGGGTTTTAGCCCCATACATGCCGAGGACTCAAGGATTACTCTCCTTGTTAGGCCTTTTGTGAGAGGATCTGCCAAGTTCCTCTCGGGCCTTACATACTCCAAGGATATTACCCCACCTTTTAGCAACTATTTCACAGCTCCTTGTCTCAAGCGTATATGCCTCCTCTAGCCATTGTACACACTGTTTTTGGCAATCCCTATGGCAACTTGGGAGTCACAATGTAGGGACACTGGCACAAATGCCCTCCACAATGGCACATCTCCAAGAAGACTTCTGAGTCATTCAGCCTCTTGCCGTACTAGTTCAAGTGCTATGAACTCAGACTCTATGGTGGAACGTGCTATGCATGTCTGTTTTGCTGACTTCCACGATATAGCTCCTCCACCTACAATAAACACATATCCACTAGTGGAGCTTACCTCATCGTTATCTGTAACCCAGTTTGCATCACAATATCCTTCTAACACAGCAGGAAATTTATTAAAATGCAAACTATAATCCATTGTCCCTCTTAAATATCTTAATAAACGATGAAGAGCATTCCAATGTTCTTTACTAGGATTATGTGTATATCTACTCAATTTACTAACTACATATGCAATATCAGGTCCAGTGTAGTTCATTAAAAACATAACACTGCCTATGATCTTTGCGTATTCAGATTGAGATACACTGTCACCCTTATTTTTCTTAAGACTTATGCTCGCATCATAGGGTGTTCTAACAGGTGGTTTATCAAAGCAGTCAAATTTCTTTAGCATTTTCTCAATATAATGTGATTGACATAAAGATAAACCTTTATATATTTTTTTTATTTTCACACCAAGTATTACATCTACCTCTCCTAAGTCTTTGATTTCAAAATGTGAAGACAACAATAACTTAGTATTATTAATGACATCTAAGTTTGTACCAAAAATCGGCATGTCATCAACATATAAGCAAATAATCACACATTCAGCTCCAAAACTCTTTGAATAAACACATGTATCCCAGCAATTTACTTTATAGCCATTGTTTACTAAAGTACTATTAAACTTTTTATATTACTGTTTGGGAGTTTGTTTTAGACCATAGAGTGATTTTTTAAGCTTGCATACTTTATTTTCTTGACCAACCACTACAAGACCTTCAGGTTGAGTCATATAGATATCTTCTTCTAAATCTCTATTAAGAAAAGTTGTTTTTACATCCATATGATGTATTAACAGGCCATGAATAGCAGCAAGAGAAATTAGATATCTAATAGTGGCTATTTTGGTTATAGGAGAATATGTATCAAAATAATCAATACCAAATTTCTGTGTGTAACCTACAACCACTAATCTAGCCTTGTATTTGTCTATTGAACCAACTGGTCATTTTCCTTTTAAAGGTCCATTTGCTCCTAATAGGTTTATTTCCCAGGTAGATCTACCAAGTCCCAAGTTTGATTCAGAACTATGGAATCTAACTCACTTTTAATTGCATCCTTCCATACGCTAGAATCTATTGAATTGATTGCTTCTTGGTAGGTTTTAGGATCTTCTTCTATTAAATACACGCAAGCAAAATGATCATCTATCTTATCACAATTTTCAATAAAAAATGTAGTTAAAAAATAAGGTCCAAAACTTTTGCTAGTTCTCTGCCTTTTACTTTTCCTAGGTTCAGGATTCTTAGTCATAGGTTCTATCATAGAATCACATGTATAAGGAACAGACATAAGCACTAGTTCTAAGTCTCCACTAGATTCACTAACATATTTTATCATGGGAAATATATTTTCAATGAACACAACATCTCTAGATCCTACCGTGGGTTTTTTGAACTCTGGATATGCTACTTTTGCCAGACACCCCCACACTCTTAAGTAGCTTAGGTTTGGTGGATATCATTTCCAAAGCTCGTATGGTGTCTTATCCAACCTTTTGTGAGGAATTCTGTTAAGAATGAAACAAGCAGAGATGACAGCTTCCCCCACATATTATCAGATAAACCAGAGCTCAAAAGCATAGCATTCATCATTTCTTTTAGAGTTCTATTCTTACGTTCAACTATTCCATTCTGTTGAGGTGAATAAGGAGCAGTAACTTCATGTACAATACCATGCAATTCACAAAAATCTGTAAGAGAGTTGTCACTATATTCACCACCTCCATCAGATCTTAACCTTTTTATCTTTCTATCCATTTGGTTTTCTACCTTAGTTTTGAATTTAAAAAACATGCTGCTTGCTTCATCTTTAGATTTTAGAAGATACATTTTAGTTTATCTGGAGAAATCATCAACAGATGAAA